GCATAAGTATGTGTCCTTATTCCGTTTACTAATGAGTTCATAATTAACAAGTTTGTTTTCAGTATTACCGTTATTGTCTTGTTGTCTTTATTGTCAGTAGTTTTCTTCTCTCTTTCCTTCTTCTAGTCTTTCTATTCTCATATTGTGGCGCTTTTTGTAATACCTTTTCACACTTTTAATGTTAAGTAATGCAATTCATTTTTAAGCTTACTTGTACCTGCTTCTATTACTGCGACTACCAGTACTATTTGCATTTGATAGTGTTCTCTGAGCTCCTTAGTTTAATTGCGGAGCTTTCATCGTCTTTCTGGACGACATCTTCAGCGCAGTATTTAGGATAAAGTGAAATGATTTAAATTTCTTCATGAGTCTCCCGGTAACCATGTTTAGATATGTATTGACCGTTTTCTATTGATTGGGATTTTAAACTTCCTGGTCACCTGATTTACTTTTTATTAGTTGGTATATTTGGTCTATATTAACGTGTTTGTTAATTGCGTTTTCATTTGAGTACCAGGCTTCTAGGAATTCCCTGGCACATTTGGTGTTTCCTCTGTTTAAGATTTTGACATTATCCCAATCAAATTGATGTCCATAATCGTCTGTATTCATTGATACTAAAGAATTTATATCATGTCTTTTCACGGCTAATTTGTGTTCCTGGATTCTTGGTCCGAGGTTTGATCCCCTGCCGACACACACTTGATATCTATGGTTGGCCTGCAAAATTTGGGCTACCGATATCCATGCTGAAAATTCCATACTTGTACCAGAAATACAATGTGAAATCAAGCTGTAATCAAAAAATTAAAAAAAATAAAATTAAAAAAATTAATTATTCGAAGGGGACGCCCACTTTAGCCGATGTAATGTTTGTTACAGTTCATACAATTTATTTTGTAAATGGTGTAGCACAAAAAGCAGCTGAATCGCTTAATTCGATCTTATGCAAACCAAAAGATCCGATAGAAAAGGGAGGTGAAATTAACACCATTTACAAAGTAAACTGTATGAACTGTAACAAACATTACATCGGCCAAATTGGGCATCCCCTTCGAATAAGAATCCAGGAACACAAATTAGCCGTGAAAAGACATGATATAAATTCTTTAGTATCAATGAATACAGACGATTATGGACATCAATTTGATTGGGATAATGTCAAAATCTTAAACAGAGGAAACACCAAATGTGCCAGGGAATTCCTAGAAGCCTGGTACTCAAATGAAAACGCAATTAACAAACACGTTAATATAGACCAAATATACCAACTAATAAAAAGTAAATCAGGTGACCAGGAAGTTTAAAATCCCAATCAATAGAAAACGGTCAATACATATCTAAACATGGTTACCGGGAGACACATGAAGAAATTTAAATCATTTCACTTTATCCTAAATACTGCGCTGAAGATGTTGTCCAGGAAGACTATGAAAGCTCCGCAATTAAACTAAGGAGCTCAGAGAACACTATCAATTGCAAATCATCCACCTGAGTTACAAATCTTTTCTATTACCAGTACTATTATTGGTAATTTTTTAATGTATATCACCTTGAAGTATTCTTTATGTGTGAGTGTGTGTACTGGAATGCGGAAAATAATATAAATGTATATATTTTTATAATTTGTCACGTAGTGGAAACTAATCATCATTTTACGGTATCATTACAAAACAATTCAGAATAATTAGCTTGCAATAGTTATATGCAATATATACTAGTAGTAATATCGTTATTGTCCTTCAGTTGGCCTGTACTCTTCCTTTTGTCATCTTCACATCAGTTATGTTTGTTTTGTTTTTACTTAGGCCTGCTGTGGAATGTGTTGGTTTTGGTGTACTTATAAATCCCTAAAAACATTGTGTCGTGTTTGTAATTACCGTTTGTTTTGTATTAGCGTGCTGTATGGTGTTCTTCACTAAGTGACGTTTTATATTATCTCTCTGTGTGCGTGTGTTAACAAATTATTCTGACTGTACTTTGTCAGTGTTCTAGTACCTTATTTTCATATGACTGTGTTTTTACTTCATTCATTGACCTACCGAGTGGAGCACTGGACGTCACACTTGAGATTTGAGGTTTCACTAGGTGTGGTGTGTGTTTACGTGGAGTGGGTTCGTGCCTAGCCTGAAGTCTATGCTTCCGTCTTTACCTCTGGCTTACTACCCGGTTATTTGAGATTTCGGAGTGAGCGTCGGTCAGGGATAAACTGCGGACCACGTAATGAGAGGGTAGTTAGCATTCTACCAGTGGACCACCGATGCACGACGAGTATATTATTGACTGAACAATTCCTACGGGTATCTTAGTGATTATGTTCCTTGTTGTTTATAGATATTCCCAATGCCTTTGTCACTATTTTTTTCACATATTCATTTCTTTACTTTTTTACTTTACTTTACTTCATTATTTTCATGTGACATTTCGCCCTATTCCCTTTTTATTACTAGTGATTTACATATTCTCTCGTCGATGGTCGATTTATTATGCGCGTGAATAGGCTGGTATATTTTTCTGTCCCTCTCCGTCTCTCTCTCTCTCATACCATTTGGCTAAACAAAACAATGATAGTGTCGTCTCCTTTAAAAAATGCATATGTAAATGTTGGCCATACTCTATGTCCTTGGTATCATCCCCAAACTGTTGTACACAATTTTTAAGGAGTACGGAGTTTAGTTGTATCTGATGTAACTCATTGTGTACTTGTGACTTCTAATAGCAAGATAATCGAGCATGGCATATGATTGCACTGATTACTTGCCCAGTATCCTCTTCTGTCTTCATTCCTCACTTTCCCCTCACTCCAGCACACACACACACACTATAAATGAATTGTGTGCATGGTGGGGATTTTTCTCTCTCTCTCTTGTCATATATTCCAATTACTAAGGCGTTGACAAATACGAACTGATTTGTTTGTTTGCATCGGAGATTGTTGTATTTATACCCTTGCATAATTATGAGTTTTCGATGAAGTAATTATAGCCATTTTAGTTTTTATAACTAGACAATGATTCGCAGTAGATGCAATCGTTCAATCGAATACTCATTTCGGATAATAGATCGAAACTATTCGTGTATATTCCATAGTAGACTTCCTCATGTATCAGTTATGTGTACAGATATTCAGAGAGAGAGAGAGAGACGGTGTTTTTAGGCATATTGTAGCGAATAGAACGATTTGCTTATCTGGATTGCCTTGACAAATACAGAGAGTAAACTAGTGTCATTTCCATAGTATAATTTCTACATTTTGTCACACTAATATATGATATTGAGTAGCATACCACAAGTCTGGTACTGAACGAATTCACCAGTTTGGTGATTCTTTGCGTCTCTGAGACACACTCAGTATTGATGGCAATATTCACTGTGGCTTCTAGTATGGATTCGAAGGACCTTATCACGAATACCACATTTGTGCTTAATGATGAAGGTGTTCACCGAAGATCCCAACTCTTCTCCTTGAGTAAACTAGAGTTAAGGTAACTTCATTCAGATACATAGTTCGACATTTGTCCTCACTCTGAAATTACCTCATTGTGTGGATCGTGGTTGTTAATTTAGATTTCGGGGGGAAATTTCTCTTGATGTCAACTACTTTTGAACTGCTAAGATATTAGTCATCAAGTTAATAATAGCAATAATAATAATAATGGCTTTATTGCAAACATCACTTTCCTTAGAGTGTGAATTTCTCAGAATGTAGTATTGTAATGAGAACTGTCTGCAAGCCAAAATTGTCAACAACAATTTACGTCAATGTTTACGTCCCGAATCGGGGTCATGAGGGAAAACAATAACAAAGCCTAACTTTAAGGAATTCACCAATCAATCACAGCAGACTTAAGGTGTGCAAATACGATTCGCAGATATACAGCTTAACTTTCTAAGAAACTGTCACAGAGAGGTGGCAGAATAACTTTCAGCAAACAAACAACCAATCAGAAGATTTTGCTATCTGCCAACAATAACGCTAATAATAATGTACAGAAAAATCTATAAATACCTCTGGATTTCCTCAATAGACGATCTGTTGCTTGGCCCTTGTCCTCTATCGTTACAGTATAATATTTTTTCTCATATTCTCTCTACATGACATAGTTAGGGAAAGTAATAATTGTCGGTAATGCATAAAGAACTAATCAATGTGAAGGTAATTTACATCAGGAGATACATTTGGAATCTCATTTGTTAGTTTACATATTACCTAACCAATCATAAATTGTGTTTCCTATTCAACTATTTAGGCTGACTACTTTAATGCATAACTATCAATCATTAAACATGTCCGTTTCTCTCATTGATTCGCTCTCATCATTTCACTGGTTCGTTGATTTGACAGGGTGGTTTAATCACTGTTAACCACGCAGTCAACCACTCAGACAGACGACAGATCTCATCGCTTTATTTACATTCATTCATTCCGGTCATTATATTATTCTGCAGTCAAAAGAGTTTGTCATATTGGCACTTACTCCTGAACTCTTCGAATTTTTATTTATCGGTGAAATCACTTGGGGTTCTACAGTTATTTCGAAAACTTTCTGCATATACTTAACTTTATTGCGTGCAATCTTGAAAATACTTTTGAAATTCCATGCTACAAATATTATACAGTTTATATTGATGATCGTCACAATTGTGTGTGGTCTCCGAGTGTCGGCCTGCAGTAGCAATCACAAAAATTACCGTCAACTATTAACACTGCACATGATCCGACCAAACAATCGGATATGATCAGCATATATTATATGGGGGATAGTGGTGCTTGCAATCTTGGTCATTTGTGTTTTTGTGAGAATGCATACCAACATCATACTGGAGAGTAATAAGTGTTAATCTAGCTGCACTGTAATACTTTCATACAGTTTTACATGTGAATAATAATTCTTTGCTAGGTGTGTTATTTTACTCATGCTAACTTCTGATCAGTTTTCATTCTAGGCAGTTGGAGTGTAGATTACATTTCACCTTTCATGTTTTAACTTTTTTTTCAGGACACCTACTATGGCTGGTGGTTTGTTCGCGATTAGTCGAGATTACTTTAATCACCTCGGAAAATATGATCCTGGTATGGAAGTATGGGGAGGTGAAAATTTAGAGTTGTCATTCAAGGTAAGCAGTATTCGATTTTATTATTTATTTGCTTGGATGAAGCACGATAATTTGAATGAATTTACTATAGTGGTTGTTTTTAGCATAGAAATATGTGTGGGTTGAGTCAGTGGTTGAAAGAATATGAAAAGTAAATTCTGCATGATGGGATTTTTGAGTCTCTGATTCAGCAGTAGAACGCTCGCGAACCAAGAACGTAGTCGAGAGTTCGATGTCTGACCAATGCACACCAATATGTGGACTAGGCGGTGGTGAACTAGGTAAAGAGAGTTGGTTAGATGTGAAGTTGCGGCATGTGCTACTGACAGGATTTATCAGCGGTTCATAACTGTGGCTTGATAAGGAGTAGCCAAATCTGAAACACCATTTTAAATGAATGGTCTGAGAAGTAACAGTGTTTATTTCTGAAATCTGGATTCAACTTACGCCCGGCGATAATCTCAAGATTTGACCTTCACAAAATCAATAAGCGATGAGAACAGTTTATTATTATCCGTTGACGTAGCCGACGATTAATGTGGTTAAAACGTGTAAGTTTGATGTGTTTTGCCTCGGTGAAAACGGTCCGTTACCATATCTTTTGTCTTTCTCTTCTACATTTTAGTGATTTCCTGCTGGTCACACTTAGAGATTATTTCCTCACCACAAAATAAGCTAAATCCAGATTTACAAATTAAACACTTCTACTTCTGTAGCCACTGACGTAGAATGTTGCTTTCAATTTCGGCGACTTCCTATTCATCTGCATTTATGCACTGCTGATAAATCTTGTCAGAAGCACACACACCATAAGGTCTGCAACCCCCCTCCGTTCTCGTAACAAAGAATATAACCACTGGAAGTAAAATTTCCAAGCTGAAATATTGAAAGCATATGCTCACCCGGGACGCGGAAGAATAAAATAAAAATTAAGTTAAGTCATTAACATACAGTGCAGGATAAAAACGGATCTATTGTTCATTTTGAGGGTACCTTGTCAGCAACATACAAACTGAATAATGAAAGTGAATAGTTAGTTGGTTATATAACAGCTTTAACATACTCTAGTTCATTGGAGATAAAATGTGGAATAGTGATTATGAATGATCATGGTGCATAGATGCATCGCAATACTAAGTTATTAAAGTACAAAATGTTACTATATAGATTTGTGATGTGAAGTGATGTAAGCTTCTCGAACACAACAAAAAATCGTGAGTGGGAAGGGAAGCAATAAGATATTGAGGTACGTAAATTTTAAGCCATTAGAAAATTGTTAATACACAGATGAGGTGTACAATATATCATGAGTTAGTTAAACATCAACGATATGTGTAGCATGAATAAATGATTACGTAAGCAAGTAGAGGTAAAAGGGAACCAACAATTACATTTGATCAGGTATGATGTAATTAATTAAATTTAAAAGATGAGTTATCAAGGTACCGATGGACTTACTACTGCTTCCTTTCGAACACACAGGTCAGGTTCTGACCCTTTGTTTGTTAACGATGGCCTCTGTGAACTTCAAGAGGGAGTTTAGGCTGATTGTTTATTGATTGTTTAGAAAGAATTTAAGGTGTCTACTCGATGTCCTATGTAAGTGAGGTCTCTCGTGATTTAACTGTTCAAAAGTTTACTTCCTCTTATGCACAGACTGGTTCGGTAGATGTTCAGAGAATCTAAAGTCTGTTGAGATAATATTCAACCAGTTTTATGCAATGAAAAAATCGTTCCATGACGGGCTCTGTATGTGGAGCTGTCATTCTGAAACTTATAGTCCTATAGAAGTTAGGCATTCTTTGTACTTAGAATATATCTAAATGTATACTTTAGGTACAACAACGTGTTGAACATATTCAGTGATGGCACAAAATACCATTCTTACTTCAGTGATGGAAATTATGCCTATCTAAATGGGCGGGCATTTGTTTGGTTCACCTTGTTTAGCGTACTCCATATGAATGGATGGAGCGTTAGTATTCAATCAAGAATTTCCTATTATGAAAGTCTATTAAGTATCATTTTATTTAAAACTTTGTTGACTACTTGTAAATAAATCTTTATATTCCTAAGTGCTTCTTCAACTTCAGTTGCTGTAGGTCTCAGTGTCTTAGAAGCGGAACTGGTCGTACTTATCTGTTAATAATATCGCTGACTATCAAATCGAATTACTTTATAATCTTCATAAGTGATCTGCTCTAATCTACCACTGACATTTTGATATTTGTGTTTTTAATAAGTTTTTAAAAGTTCATCCTCTTTTGTCTATTCCCCTTAATTTCTTTGTTCTTTCCTATTTCTTTCTCTCATGAGCACATGTACTCATGGTCATTGTACAGAACCTTTGTTAGTTATCCAATCTCTTCATCTTTTATGAAGGTTGTTTTGGGAGGAGGGGGGAGGTGTGTGAATTCTTTTATCTTCATTGTTCGTGTTCTTCATTGTGATGAGGTAGAAGGAAATTCATGTTTTGGTATCTTTCCTCCTTGATTGGCAGTGGTACTCATTGTTTTGAATCCCTACACCTTAGTGATACATTAGTGTGTACATTATCAGTATCTATGTCACAGTTGGTGTTTGTCACGTTTTTATGAACTGCTTAACAATGGTAGTAGTCGAAGGTGAGAATTTTAGACATTCATAGCGTTGCTGTATAAGTGATGGCCTTCAGAAAGTCTGTGTGGGATTCTGAAAAGAGAAGGAATAAAGCTGTGCCCTTCTGTTATCAGATAGTGCAGATGTAGCATTACCGTACAATAAGATGCGCCAAAGTAGCAGTCCTGTAATCTAACTTCGTAGAGTAGTGGGAGACGTTAATAACTGAGCCTTTGCTCTTGTTGAATGATCTGTAAAAGTGTGACAGATATCAAACGATAATTGGAAATTGGGAACTAATTTACAAAGTTATATGTTGTAATGCACCTTGTACAACGGGTCATAATGATTTTGTTTGGCTGTATCCTGTATGTTATCAGCGAAGATAAAACACACCGACACATTATTTTCACTAATGATATTAACTGGTAGACAGAATCTCACTCACTGCAAGGGATTGACAGCAATGGAAGAGATTCGTCATCCTCTTCCTCCTTTACCGCTTAACACACTTCCATGGTTATAATGACTACTGACAAAATATTTGATAACTAAGATAAGTTGACTGTGTATTGACCGTTTGTGTTTTTATGCACTTTCCGCAGTAGTAGCTGTAGTAGTAGTAGTAGTTATTGATCTATTCATCAAGATGGCCTGTCTAATATAGTCTTCTTCATTTCTGACGTAATTATTCATGTGTTCAAGAAGTAAGATTTTCACTTTGACAGATATGCATCTTTTTTCTCTCTCTATTCTTGTTATATGGATGTGTGTGTGTGAAAAAAAGGCAGAAAAGTAGGAAAGACTTAATCCTTACGATGATATTAGAATTCAGTGACAGTAGGCTTGTTCTGTATTCTTGTCCATAGGATAGTCAACTAACTACAAGAGCGTCTTTCTTATTTTGCGTGACAACTTTTACTTTGGTTGAATATTTGCCCTCTTCTTCTTTTGTTGATTTTCTGCTGTATTCTTTCCCCTGTTTTGTGACTTTGTCAAACCAGATTATAACGGGATCGTTGCTCGGATTAATTTCTCATGCTTGCCTTAGATTTCATCATCTCTCTAATTTTTCATTGTCATTTTGTTTTGTTTTATTATTTTTAGTATGAGTTAGTGAAGAATTTTCCTGATTTGTTGTGTTTTTATTAGTTTTCAGTTAGTTTAAAACAGATGTGAGGGAGGAGAGGTGGCATTTAGTGCGAGTTGACGCATACAGTTATCATGTTTCGCATATTTAGAAATCTTTTTTATTCCATCACCTTCTCAATGAACCATTAGGCTACAATCTTTGACTTTGAATTTGCAGTAGCACTGGTGTTTATTTTTCCGCGTGTTAATGTTGCTAGTCTCATACTCAATCTTCCCTATTTACAAGGTTTACTATCGGCTTGTCTAGCTCTTGGAGTGCATCGGGAGGAGAGTGAACCTCGGATCACGTGCGTGTTTGACTGAACCACAGATACACATCATATTTTGTAAAGTGTCCGATTTCTGGGCGTCATTTTGTGTCCATTTTCAGAATCATTGCTATTTAACTTGCAGTCTACCTTTTTGTGAGATAGAATTCTATACACAAACTGTTCGATGAATGAGATACCGGATGGTATAGTTTAGTTGTCATCGCTAAACGCAGGTGTGCATCATGTCAGCTATACGTCACAACAGTGTTCTCCATCTGGAGACCGTGACTTCCTTAAGTGTATAAACGTTTGAAGCACGAAGTCATCGAAATTAGTTCCAGTCACGTCTTGTTTTAATGACAAAGACTGTTTTCGTTCAGAGAAGAAACATCTCTTTTCAAAGACTTCATTTTCGAGCTGCGTAGTCGTATTTGTATTACGGCGAAAGGCACTAAGTGGTACTAGAAATCGCCTAGGCAATATCGGAAATATGATAGGAACAAACATAAGTAAAATGATGTATTGAGAGAGTAGAGTTGTAGTGGATGAATGATAAAACTATTCGAATATTATTAGATGAATCAAATTGGCATTAGGGTTTTATAGGTGGCAGGTCAGATGTTGTCTAAGAACTTAGGAGTACGTTGATGATAACAATAAAGACGGCGAAGACGAATAGAGGTGAGATGAATTCAAGTGGTAAAACAGAATAGAATAGAATGAAAAAAAAACGGAGCATCACACTGTGATCAAGGTGAAGAAAGGAGTTTAATATAACATATATAATTCAGGTTTCTGTTTATTAGTAATTAGAGCTTCGGCTATACGTAAGTGGAGAAAACATCAGCTTTTAGAGTGGTTGGATTTGATCCTGTAGATGGATTTGCAGGATGAATCACGTATATCTGAATGACGTGACTGGAGAAGGTGTTCACAAATTGAAGATTTCGCCATCCTATACTCATCTTTCATTAACCGTACAGGTATTTTTCAGTTATGCGTATACTGAGAACACGCATACAACGTCCAATGAAATCAGCTCCACACGAGCATGTGAATGAGTATATGTACATAGCAGTGGATATAAGCGGTAGTTTATATTTGACGCATTGTCGAATCATATTTCGGCTAGTAAATACCAAATGTAAGTCAGCTACATAAAAGGAGTGTTTGATACATATAGACAAACAACTTTTAATGACTTCAGCAACAGTGTTAACTTAGTAGTGGTCAAACAAAACATGGCACCAGTCGATGAATTCTTCGACTGTTGGTTTGAACCCGCCAGCAAGCCAGTCACTCAGCCACGTAAAAAGGTGCAGACTGTCTAGTTGGGCTTCTCGGGATTCTACGAACCAATGGCTTGAGAGTGTTTGTGATATTACTCGAAATTGTTCTTAGTGGCGCGAATGCATAAGCTCTCTGTGATCTCCAAGGAAAATTAACTGTTCATGTTTTCCCAGGCTTCTATTCCTTCTCCCATAATTTGTGGTTCTTTTGAATTGATCCCTTCTCTAACTTTGTGTGCTGTATGCAGTGTGCGAAGTTGAACTTCTCCACTTCTTTGTTGAAATGCAGTCAGTCAGTTGATTACATGTGTGAATCACCTCGTGAAAATGGACTTCAAGATTCATCTTTGTGTTCAATTAATCCAAAGTGAGTTGTGTAGTTCTATGTCTGATGTGTGAGATGTTAAACAACGAAATAGTTAGTGATTGATCTAATTGTTCACATAGTATTGAGTAAAAATCTATTGGAATACAACAAATTTATAAGAAGGGGTTATACTTTTAGCTTATATCTCATTGCATAATATGCTTTCATGTCATTTTACTCAAAGTTTATCAAGATGCATATGATTCATTATAAATCATTTAAACTACTTGTTTTGTAATATTTCTTCCTTTTAAATTCAGATTTGGATGTGTGGTGGGATTTTGGAAACTAGTGTCTGCAGTTATGTCGGGCACATATTCCGTGGTCGTTCACCATACAAATGGGATGTTAAAGTGAAAGATCCTTTGAAGAGGAATTTACACCGATTGGCTGAAGTTTGGCTTGATGATTATAAACGATTTTATTATGCACGTATTGGTTTTAAAACTGTAAGTTATTCTTGCTTAAGTGAGTGTTTTTTATTTTATAGGTGTAGTTTTGTTTTCATGTGTGTTTTAAATCGGTAAATAAATCGGCTGCTAAATCACGTCTGATGAAATATGTGGTCGTACGTGTTTAAACTCCTGTTAAATATTTGAGCAGATTATAGTGGAAGCCTGTTTTGATGTTAGTGAATTTAAGCCTGTGTCTTGAATGTGACTATATTCAAATTAGCAAATGTCAGACGAGTTACAAGAAACCATTGGAATTCCAATATAGAACTATTACCGGTTGTCGATCATTGAGATCCACGGAGTACTGGACACCTGTTATGTCCCAGTTTGTGACCCTTCTGTGGTATATACTGAGAAATTCAGTGCACTCTGCAACTGGAATTGTTTGGTTCGGTTTCCCTAACACGCTGGAGGCTATTTTAAACGACTTCATAACGTGTGAATAATGAATGAAGTGATGCGTCTATCGGTTCCCATGATTAATAATATGTTGAAGGGTTGGGTATTTGATGTAAAGTTGTCTCAGACTATGTTACATATTGTTAAGCTGTTGAAATGCAATAAAATGTGTGCAGGTGTCGGTTTGGGATCTGACTTGAAACCGAAGAAATCCTTGCAAATCAACACCTAGTGATTAATGGAATGCCCGCTAGTGACTGACTACAGGTTGATGTGGGAAATGATAACCATTGATATGCGCCGAGTTGGGTGTGGGGAATAATACTGTCGGATGAGATTAGCTGGTGAAGGCACTGTATACCGCGAATCCGGAGGAACTGGAATTGATGAGCCATTGAACTCCATCCTACTGGGTGGTTAGCCAGCTGACTGACTTAGTGACGTGAAAGTCCTGAGTTCGATTCCTTACGGGATTATGAGTGCGTGCTGTTGTAGAACATGAGGCTAGGATAAGCAGATTCCCCAGTGCTGCTTCGATATCAATAGTTTTCTAGCTGATGTCAGTTCGTAGTCTAACTTGGGTAGTTTTCATCTTGGTTGGAGTGTGTTCATGCTTAGTAAGATGAAAAGCTTTTACTGATGTAAATTGCTAAAGTTTAAAAAGAGATAAGTGATATTCCTCTGTTATCACTCTTCTATTTCATTTGTACTTTCTCCCGGTAGGTCGATTATGGTGATGTTTCAGAACGTAAGGCCTTACGTGAAAATCTGAAATGTCATTCATTCGAATGGTATTTAACTAATATATATCCAGAATTATTTGTACCTTCAAAAGCCTTAGCGTCTGGTGATGTAAGTTGTGTACTTTTGGATTGTTTTCCGTGTGCGTTTCCTTTGATGTTTCTTTTGCAATTGCAATGTAGAATTTGAATCATTATCATTATTATTCTTTTCACTATGATGGTGGTTTATGTTACTAACTCCAGAAGATCTCGAGTTTTAAGGTATACGTGTGATTCCACTTCGTTTTGTTCACTGGCACTGTTTTGACTTCATCTGTTAGTGAGACAGTTTCGATGTTGACGTGGTTATCATTAATACCACTTGTGTGCATGCCTTCATTGGCACAATTTGACCCACCACTCACATGACTTTTGAATTTTCATGTTAGAGCAGGAAACTTGTATTCTGTAACTTATTTAAGTGATATGTGCTTTATTCCTGTGTATACAGATAATTATGGTGAGTTAATGAACAAAGCAATAAACTTCAAGAGAGCCAGAAGGAAGTTATCCCCAATATCCAATGACTCCATTTAACGTCGGAGGTTTTTGTAGGCTTCAGACTACCAGGAATTCTGATGCTTATTGTTCAAAAGTTAGTTTGTAGGAATCTGATTTGTTTTAGGTTGATCACGGGCAGGCTTCCGTTGAAAAACCCCTGTAAAGCCAGTGAGTACTGGACAGTCGTTTCGTCTTATTTCGCTGCTCTCCACAGTACTCATCCACCAGGTTTATTCAAACACAGTGCCCCTTGGCTACAAGGTAAGCATATAAAACTTTCAGCCACTGGGACTCGATTCAACGCTCCATGAATTAATTTCTACTTCTACCGATTCATGATTATGAACACATGAGTCAGTCAGCAGGAAGATCTCTTTTCTCAACTTCACTTCAAGGCTGTGCAGTTATTTAGACCTTTTAGATATGCATACAACTCAGACTGATAACAGAAGTCTAAGGTTATTGTCTATGGGTAATCAACCAAATGGAAGTGGATCAGTAGAACTATATTTTAAAAAATTAGGAATAGTCTTACGTAATCAGCCAATCTGATGCTCACTAGCGACTTGTCGTAATCAGGCAGTAACCCATTGAAGAAAACATTTGGAATTCGTTGCGCTATGTCATGAATTGCCAGAAGTTAGAATTCATGGGCCATTTGATCGGGCCCCAGTGGCTTAATGCTTCACAGGCTAGCTGGCCTTGTAACCATCAGGTCCTGGGTTCGAATCCTGTCGGTAGATGAGTACTTGTGAACAGTCCAGTGCTCCTTGCATGTGGTCATCCAATGAACCTCTAAATGATGTTGGCTCATGACGAGATCCTCCAACCAATCAATCGAAATCCCTACCAGATGAATACTTGAAAATTATCAAAAATGGTTGACAATTAATTATTTGAGTGATGAATAATCAGTAGGAAGTAATTGAAAATGAATTGGGGAAAACATAGAGTGGTGAACATAAAGATTATATTATTGTTACTAAGGATGACAAAGGAAAAAATAGTACTATGGACATGGTAGTGAAAGAGGCTGGATGAAACGTTTCTTAACACGAATTTCACGCTACTCCTTAATGATTACTAGGGCTTCAGCTGCATGAGAATGCAGGCGAAATGCTTTCGAACGACTTAGTCGTACTTAATATATGACTTTGAAGGAAGTCTCTACTAATGCTGCATGACCAAGAGTAGAACTATGCTGTGGGATGGATCTGTTGACTGTTGTGTGTTCTCCTTTTGACAACCATGCAGGTAAGTGTTCATGAGCATGTCTAAACAATGTCCTACTGGTACGACCTGTGTTCTCAGCTCCACATGGGGAGGTGAATAGGCAAATGCACATTGAAGTTGACAACAGTGCGATCTTATATTCAACGTTTGTTTTTTCAGTTTCTTTTTCGCCTCCTTCTTTGTCTTCCTGAATAACCAACGATGTAATAAGCTCTATGTAGTCCTCTCTATATTTTTCTCAATTCATTTTCAATCATTTCCAAACGATTATTCACCGTGACCGAAATTTCAACGAAGAGTTTCTTTTCGGCGAATTCATTCATTTAGCTGCACAATCGCATTTGTCTATGTCATTATTTTGTTTTTGTGTGTGTGTGTATTAGGACTGTCAAACAGAAATTAAAATTGGTTAAGGTTATTGTCTGCATCATCAAAGTGTTTGAAAAATATGATGAATAATCAACTAGTAACTAAGTTGGTAATTATTGACAAGGGTTGAGTAGTATGAAAGACGTCCTAAAATGTAGTCTGTCAGTGAAACAGCATAGAAGCGAGTGTTCACAATAAATTATATAATAGATAGGAAGAATAAATAAAGCGTTGGTCGATAAAAATTGTTTACTAAAAAGTCATACAGAAATTCAGAAAGCCTTATTAACAAAGTAGTAGAACTTGGAATAATACCCAAGGTAGAAGTAGCGGGCAGAGAAGTTTTTTCTGTGTACATAAATCAGATTTTTTTTATCCGGATCACTAAAGCCTCGGCTATGCAAAGTATACGGAAGCTTACCGTTTATGGTGATTTCTTTTGACTTTGTAAATGACTTTGAATGAATTCTCCTTACATATTGAGTGAGTCGTGTTGAATTTATATATATATATATATATATATTGAATCATAGGACTCCTTATTCATTGCTCATCTAATTACTTTTTGATTATGTAAGACTATTCTAATCAACGAAATATTATTTGACATATGGAGAAATACTAGCTCCATCATAAGCTTTTATGTTATAAGACCACAAGAACTCAGCTAAAAATAGAAGGATACGTACCACTGAATAACATAAGTATTGCTCTGCATGACATTCACACACAAGTATTGTGTTAAACACCCATACATTTAGGTCGATTAATCGGACTTTACTTCTTGAATAAACACATCATCAACAGCAGTAGTGCACAATCAACTGAGGGGATATTGAGAATCCTTCTACTGCATAACTCAACTGTTCAAAAATCGAATAAACACATTGATATAATTGTTGAGTGTCATTCAGGAGATAATAATTTCTGTATTACTGTACTGTGTACTTTGTCAAATAAGCATATTTAACCTCGATGAGAATATTGTTCATGCACAAATTTCCCATTTTGGTATGTAGAAAAAGAAACGGATTGAACGTAGAAAGAAATTGCCTTTCCTCTGAGTACTTCATCACTATCGTGTATTCTTACTTTTCCACTTTTATTATAGATTGAAAATGTTGCCGCTCCTCAGTGCTTAGATGCACCAGTATCGAATGAGAAAGATCGTAAAACAGTGATGATTCAAACATGGCCATGTCATAAACAGGGTGGTAATCAAGTGAGTTAGTTAGCTAATTTTCTTTTCATTTTGAAAACTATTCATTCAATGAACAACACAGATTTATAAAAGAAATTCTAAAAAGAGATACTACTCAGTATTCGTAGAAAATAGGCAGTGCACAGTGCATGATCGGTGCTTCGTGTTGTCAAAAATATGATCAGTGTGTAGATTGTTTGAAATTTGTGCCATTTGCTGAGTTTATTACTAGGAATTGTTTTTCCATCTTATGAACTATGCTGGTGTGTACATGTTACATTTGTCCTTGTCAAACAAAGTCTTGTAGTAGGAGAGAATCACTTCAGTCTTTCTATTTTTAATGAAGCTTGGTGTAAATAGTCGATGAAAGTGGTTATACTGAAGAATTTTCAAAGAGAATTTCCGATGACTTAGTTAGTCATTCCGTCGAAATAAATCTCAGTCCGGATGACATACAGGTTGGATATCTTCTGATCCGTAATCAGAAGCCTTATGCATTCAGCCCTCGTTTCTTAATAAATATGGAATACGCGAGCGTCAAAGTGTTGTTCGATGAAAACTGTGACATATTGCAACGTCGTCTTACCGTGGTACTGTATTAATCAAAGTTGTGATGATGAATTCGTAGTTTGCAATTTATGTAGTTCATGGTGAATCTTCTCCACACGTTTCCTCTAAAAAGCCAAATATTATTTGGACGACAATATGTGATCGCCTTGGTCGTACAAGTGTCAATTATGAATACGAGCAAACATGTGTATCACGCTACATACTACTGATAACTCAGCCGTGAACGACCGATACGATGATTGTCCAGTGTTCAGTTCACTTCGATCTGACTAACAAACTCTGCTGACTGATGTGAGTGGGATCCAACTACTCAAGTCAACCAGTCAGTAGTATGTATAGTTATGACTAGAAAAAAACAAGATTTCGGGTTATTCATTCAGTCGAAATTTGATTCAACCTACTAATATGTTGTGTTCGTGTGATATATTTGACACTCACACGTAAGCTCCTCATAATGATAAGTAGTACCAATGAACAAACATTAATATTCTTTTATTTGTTTTCTGTGTTGTCTGTAGTTTTGGTTATTATCACCTGAAAATGAGATTAGACGAGATGATTATTGTTGGGACTCGGGTGTACAGGAAGGAAGCATTGGTTTGCTTCATTGTCATGGTTCACACGGGAATCAGATGTTCACTTATGAAAATGTAAGCTCCTTTTTCCTTAAAAGACATTCTATGTGAATCGAATGTATGTATAGCAATGTTATTATGTGTGATTTTCATTCATTTAGTTTCCTAGTGGAACAACGGGTGACAGGAACAGATCCCCATTTTTGTTATTGAGATCTGTGCAGTCTTCCTTAACGCGCTCTACGATTACCGATATATTATTATCTCCTCCTCACCCGACTCCACTTGTCGTTTGTTATTCAGGTTCCGCTCGAGGATCTGAGTCAGGAAGTGTCTGGCATGAAGGTCTCCACTATGTATGTCCTATCCGTATCAATTTGTATTTGCATATTTGTTAGGCGATAGTTTCACTGTTTGATTAACACCATTGTTCCTTGTTGCTTTTCCTTACTGGTTGGCCGTTTGGTTTTCAGTGTCGAGCCAGTGAAGGCAGGAGTTGACGAAAGTTTTGCGCCTGTTGGAAATGGTATTCGTGACAGGCCAACCCTCCGGGTCATATAGGAGCACTGAGTTTGACATAAGTGATGAAATTCCGAGTATTGCTTTTTGTGCTAAGTATAGTACAGCGGATTTTGATATCGGTTTCAGATCAGTGGATTTCTGTATCGTCTTCCGATCGTGGTTAGCTCTGATGTCTGCATCAGTGGAGCCCGTAAATGAAATGATGCTCCCTAACTAAGTGAATGGCTATCGTTGTATGTGGTGTGATGACTTCCTTGAATTAATGGAAAGTTTAAATATGTTAGGTGTAAATGTAGCTTGAGACCTTCATTTTTCCTGTAGTATTTTCCCCATACACAGTGTTAAATGAACTCAAGTATTTATTCTGTTTATTTCGTAAGTTAACTTGACTTCTTTTACCTTGTGGTTTTATTGTTCAGTGGATAAACCTACATAATCATCACCATCATGAGAATAAGATGAACTTCACAAACATAGTGAAACATGGATGTGAATGTTGTTCTGTCTGACTTATTTGTATTGGACAAAGTTTCCTCAGTTCAGGTCACGAGTTCATTATCGGAAATAGTATGCATAATAAAAGTAGGCCAAAGAAATATAACGTGACTAGCACGGATAAAGAAAGATGTACGAGGAGAGAGTATGAGTGAATGAAAACTAGTCAAGATTTTGAGAATTCGGACTACCACACACAGTAAATACCCTCCATTGTATCACAGTAAACGATTTCAGAAAAGTAACTAGGAATCTCTAGTTTCCAAGTAAATGTCGAGTGACTTTCCCACTCCTTTATAACTGTATCTCTCTGTTTGGCATATGAATGTTAAGTTCATTAAGTTTTCCCTTATCAAACTAACCACATCAATGCTTATACTAGTAATAGTTCTACGGTTAACAACATGTTTGCATACAGTAGAGAATTTTCAGCTTGGTTTTATCAACTCCCTACACAGAATCGTCAAGTAAAACAGAAGTCGATTTTATCATATCTGCAGGATGCTGTGTTTCCCGACACATTTATCCTTTGAAAAGATATCAGACAGTATATTGAATGGCATTCGAAAATGCACGTGGGTGAAGATTGTTCTTCAAGGACGTGAATAGGTGGTTAAAACAAAGTACAGTTAAGTAAATTTGAAGCTTTGCGTTCTGTGTAAAGTTAGATAGCCCAATGATATAAGTCGGCCACTGACATAAGCTTATACCTAGCCAAATTGACTGATTCGTCATTAAGTCCTTCCTGTTTAATATCCAATTTCTTAAAAATGAATTCATGAATTTGCTTCATTTTGTAATTTCTTTCCATCTCACAGGACAACACTATTCGTCATCAAGGCCAGTGTTTAGAAATGAGACCTAAATCTGCTTCAGTAAGACTTGCTAGATGTACCGGTTCAGTAAATCAACTATGGAAATTCAATCGAAAGCCATATCTGCCATCTAAAGAGAATAATGAACAATTTTAATTCAACTGACAATGGAATCCTCCTGACGTCCATCAAGTTTTCGCGTATAAGTAGATATGTATACTTGTGTATTTATGATATACATGTCTTTCGTCGTCTCCTGTCTATCAAGGAAATATTTTCTTTCCAGAACAAGTGAACAAATGATTCTCTGCTGTTGTTATTCTTCTTCTTTTATACTCCTTGTATACTCCTTTATATGTGCATATATACATATATATATCTATGCTCCACATGTGTGTACATACACTGAAACGACATATCAGCCTTACTTACCTACTTACTTACTTACTGACATGCCTTCGTTTTCCCTTCTGATCTGTGATAAGATTTTTATTATTAGAAGCATATATATATATACATATATCTAAGTGTGAGCGTTGAAGACACATGGACAATGAGTAAGAGGTGATTTTGTCCTGCCTAATATATATACCCTTTGTATATACATACACATATATCGTTGTACCTGATTGATAAGCCAGAATAACCTTATGGTGAATAGTGTTCAAGTGTGTTTGTGCCTGTGTGCGTGTGTGTATGCTTGGTGCGGGCATCAGCTTCTTATTACTTCTATTATTATTATTATTATTTTTATGTGCCTTTCTCTCCTGGTGATTTGGTTTGTATTTTTTTTATTTAGCGCAATGCATATACATCCATACGCTTAGGGGGAATGTAAACACATTGCTCAATCTTTTTGTATTTCTCACCTCCTCTTTCTTTGTTTCTTTCTTTCTCTATTTCTTATGAAGGGATTTAGCCTGTTTTCAGATTTTGTTCCACTGGTTTTCCACGTGTGAGTTGACTTCCACTGCAATCCTTTATTTTGTTGTGCTACATAATAATAATAATAATGATGTAGATGTGAATATCCATGGAAGTGAATATTTTGTCTACTTTGAGAAGCATCTTACTTTCCTTCTTCTTCTTTTTCTTCTTTTCATTTCATGTCTTATTAAAGCAAAGAAAACTTGAAGATTTCAAGTGAATTTCAAGGTTGACTATGTGATATAGTGTTGATTTCAGTTCGACCTCTTTATTATTTTTATTATAATTATTATAATTTCCAAGTCATTATTTTTCTTTTCTTATGAATATGCATATATATCTGTGTGCCTTCCAATTGCAAATGCAATTTGTTGCTTCAATAACAACAAAATAAAGAAAGTTTTTACAAGATTATCACCTGTGTGCTTTTCTCTCTCTCTCTCTCTCCACTTTTTTATTTTTTGCTGTAGAAAAGTTTGAACAATCTCTGTTGTTGTCAGTACAGCTGGGTTAAAATTGTGCATTGCATCATAGTATTCTGCTTTTATTCATCGGTTGACTTACTCTAAGTGTGAAGTGATTATTCGCCTTCTACTACGAAGGAGATTTAAAATGTTACTTGATCTTTGAAACTGGTGATCTCAGGACATTGGAATCCATCGAAGAAAACAGTGCTATTAAGATATGATTCATGATATGTAGTCACCTGAATATTTGCAACATGAGAATTCTGTTCACATTTACACATTATAGTTGTGTGTGTATAATTACACGGATACAGTGGCGTTAGCCTTAATGGACTGATTTCTGACGACATCTCAGCACGCATACAAATGATTCGTTTGTTATTTAGCAACTTAGATTATCTCTGACGTAGACATGATATCGAGGTATCGATCAAAAGAGGTGTATAATGCTCAGTAGCTCACTCTGTCCTCCTTGATGGCTGTGAGATGTCATTATTGAAAGTGAAAGTCTCGAAGAGGCTTGTTGCATTCAACCACAGATGTTTGCGTTCTGTCTCCTGTGTTAGGCAGCGTAAGAGGTTGTGTAATAATCCGGTCAGACGTCGAGTGTAAGGTGAGAAGACCACGTCAGTTGGTCGAGTGGATTTGTGAAGTAGCAGTGAATGAGATGGCCAGGATGTGTATGACGCATGTCGAGGATCGGTCAAGTGAAAATCTGACATCGATTCATTATTTCTTCGACAATTGAGTAATTTGAGCCACTTGGTGAGGTTTGAACTACTTGGTTGGGTGACTGGGATGCTGAGAGTCAGTGACTGTAGACAACTGGCGATATGACTCTAAACCGTTGTCAATGGTGCAGATGCATTCACTCATTGTAATCTCCTGGATACATGAAGTTCTCATATTTACCCATGATGGTATTCTTTCTCCCGCACAATTCTGCACATAAGGGTTATTTTGAAGACTTCCTATTATACAGAGATAATGTGGTGACTTGAGCTCCTGCAGTTCTGTGCGAAATGTATGTTGAAAGTTTGTCAGTCAATACGTATATAGATTCGAATGTAAAAGGTTAGCTATAGGCAGAAGTAACTGCGTGACTTTACAATCTTTAACTTGACGAAGCCATCAGTGAACATAGAGTTGAAGAACGATTAGTTTTTCAGTAGAAGAGAATTAAAAAAGCCGTTGTCTCATCGCATAACACACTGGAATAGCAATAAAGTTCTAAGAAGGAAGATAACTAAATGGAAAGTGGAGTTGGACTCTGGATCCTTGTTCATCGAATCAACACTCCAACACATTCAGTAGGAATCAACGGGCGTCCTACTTTATCTCTATGAATCGGATGTTGAAAGCAAGAGATAACAACGTATTACAGGCGTTTTCTAATCATGAACGGTTACAAACAAAAGTGTCATAGGATGGAATATAGTTTCACTGAACTAGAGAGATTACGTATGAAAAGTGGAATACATTCTACAATAATAAATTGAATTCCGAAGAATTGATGTTCCTCAAATATTTAGATTAAGAAGGAAGCAGGAATTAACACACTAGGACTATATGGTTTTCCTGAAGTGTCTTGACTGCGTATTTTGCTTCCTTCGATTTTAGATATGTACAATTCTGTACACTTAGCTTAAATCTTAGAAAGTTTAGACAAAATGTGTCACAGAAGATGTCTCCGACTCCTTCTCTGAAGCAACGGAGACATATGAATGAAGAGTACATGGATGAATCAACATAATTCACCAACATACCACTGGTGTAAATAGTGTGTATAGACGATTTATGATACCCATAGGTGATTGATAGAAAAATCAACATGATTCTAGTGTGAAGAGATTACTAGTCCAACGTAAAGTGCATGTACATGTTATTATGTATGTATATAATAAGAATGAGGATTCAACATACATGTGCTCAGCGTTATCTCCCATCCTAGTAGACATCGCTCAATTTTCTGTATTACAAGTTTAACTGAAAAGACGTCATCATTGAGTTTGATATGCGTTATTACCATGTCGACGAAACACTACTGATAAGCACATATGTAAGTGAACTGTCAGTGAAACTCAATCATGCACTTCACCCATTTTCACTTCCAGACAAAAGGATGCAAACGTGCATCTCAATGTTCTACTAAGTAGGGAAGAAGACAGCAATCACATTTGAACTGGGTATAAAACGTTTAAGTTTAGTGCTTATTTATCTTCCGTAATTTCCCATATGATGAATGACAATGACTCTATTGAAGGAAAAGTTAAATAGTCTTGACCTATCTATGTGTATTTGTCTGTTCACTTATTCATGTGGAGATGGAAAATATCGACTGTGGAATTTGTCAAATTAACCGAAGTTTTATGGAGAAGTCGATCATGTCTGGGTAGAGGAAATGTGAAATCTAATTAAGTAATATATTTCTCATCCGGCTGATATTGGTGACTCGCTAGATAAATTATTACACACTGACTCTAAAGTGAAAGTTGGACAAGTAGAATTTCTTGCCAGTTGTTGGCCACCTGCATTACAGTATTGTCTTCCTTATCTGACTATGCATGTAGCGTGTGCTTAAAGCGACCAAATTCAATGAACATAATAAAGCTTACACAGCTACAATCAGCATAAGGTCTCCTATTCAAAAACCCCACTCATGCCATCCACATATTACTGAACAAGGTCACATTGAGAAAAGGAATGGTAGATGGCCCACATTATTTGAAGTCGGTCAACAACAAATACGAAATTCTACTGCACTTTACTACTGTAGAGTAGTTCATTTGTAAATGACGGAGAATTCCAGTAGTTTTCAGCTCACTTACTTTGTACCAGAATTTGTCCAAACAGTTAAGGACTTTGATATGCAATCTCGGACTATTGTTCACCTGTCTGAGATAATCAAGTCAGTTTCTGTTACATACAAGCGTAGGAAAATTTCTGGGTGCATAAGTTGTTTCATGCATATTCCAAATATTCAGAATTCATTCGTCAATACGAAGTAGTAGTTATCATACTGGATTGGATCTTGCCGCGTTGAGATAATAATACAAGAGAAGAGAATTCTATGTGGTGTTTTATTGGATTTTCGCTGAACCGATGAAGTAAAATTTCCGTAGTATGAAAATAACCTTGATTTATTAAAGCACTAGAATAAATGGTAACCAAGGATTAAAAGGGTTTTATATTGGGAATTCGAGATTAACACGGTTCACTGGCTATCAAAAAAGTTTCAAAATCTAAATGCATATTTTTTTGACGTTTTCGGCAGTCTAAAACATCCTTCTACACATCCTCATTATTTCAATCAAACTGTTATGTAGGAAGTAGAAGACTGAACAACAGATATAGCAGAGAGTATGTATAAGATCTACTGTTATAGGTGAGACCAGTTGATGATGACACCAGTAAAAGCAAGAAAACATTTCCCTCCAACTGGTAGAATATAAACAACTGGAGCCCGTGTCTTTAGGACCTTAGCATAATTCTGGAGAGTATTAATTAATGTACAGACAGACACCTTCAATCGAGTCCAAACACTGTGGTAAACAGCAACCGAAATCACTACCCAAACCAACAGATTTAAGAAAGAATGGGGAAACTGTGTGTGAGACAGAAACAGTGAGATTCATTGAAATATGTCCAACAATTTTATATTACTTGGAAACTGTTAGTAAGCCGGTAATGTTACATTTAATTTAGTGTGGAGTTCAATTTCAGACAGCATAACCAACTTATGATAATGTCAATGTGAGGCAATTGAGTAACCTTTAGAATCTGTTTGAATTTTCATGGTCAGGATCAAAGTAAATAAAAGAAAATGACAGTGCCATGGCTGCTTAGTCATCATTAACTATGTGATGGCTGTGGACCTCATACAAATTTTTTTTTAAAAAACCTGATTAAATTGTTCAAAATAATTGACATATCAGTTGTCCATTCAGAAGAGGTGTTCAGTAAGGCTGAGTGGATGTTAGCACTGTAAATCATCAGTGTTCACTTGGAGTGGAATTACAGTGGTCTGTCACTTTCACAGCCTGCTTATCAACAGTTGTGATTCACAAGAGGCAGGATAGATGCCCCACATTTGAGTGAAATCTTCCACATTTATGGTAGCTCAAGTAAACTTTGCTACTTCCATGAATTATCTGAGGACTTATTTATGGAGATGGAAAATGTTTTGCGCGCTGGATTTGTAAACCAAAGAATAAGTTAATTAATTTCAGCTACGTTAGTGGCTTCAAACTCCGTCAGAGAAGTATGAAAAGACGTCGAAATAACAACGGGTTTGAACAGTCTCCATTGGTGTGTTAAATGCACGGTTACAGACAGAATGATGATTGGCATGCTGATTTTCAAAGCTTGAAATTTCAGCAAGTCATCATCGATGAAGATGCTATTTCGAGGGTTTAAATATAGATGTGGTGAAGGCGTTTTCATTTTATTCGTTGCACATTGTATTCTCGGGCGTCGTGCGGAAGCTCATTTCATTCAGGAAACGACCAGCTACACCATCTGTTTGGCGATGAAGAGTTTTGTTAAATTGGAATGGTACATCCATACTACACATTACCAGCAGGCCCTTAAACTCCGACACAAGGAGTGGGAGACATTCTGAATGTTGACAAACGTTATCGATAGTCTCATTGAATAGGATCCTTGTTAATAAGGTGGTTACATCAAATGATATCTACGTCTCAAAGGAGCGAATGTTTACAACAGTGTCATTGCCAAACATCTTATCGATACGAGTCATGAGGTAGCCATCACAAAATCCTTTAAAATTATCAATAGACAATTAGTTCAATTATTCTTCAGCTTGAAATATGTTTTACGATCGATATCGCTTAGAGTGAGTTCTATAATTCATACTTCCTAGGATACTTCTTTATACTTTATATCGAGTGTGTAAATCACCTCATTCTCGTTAATTGAAAATTCGATAAA